AATCATCGAATTCTTTCGAAATTCGTTAGTTATTCGAGGTAGTCGAAGGTATAATTCCTTTCGCCGTTATACTTCTTTATTATTTATGGATTAACATTTCAACATTAATCATATCTATATTTTTAATGTCATAGAATAATAAGGTAAATTTTCGTATAGAATGCATTTATTTAATCAACAGTTATATCGACATACAAGGAACCAATTCCATGGATTGGAAACAAAAATGGTCCAGTAGTACTGACATTAGCAGGCATGAATGGTTACTTACATGTGTTGTATTGGTATGAGCACGTTACTATTGACATGATTCCGGTTGACATGACAATTAATGGCCTTTTGACAGCGATTTGGGACTTTGTCGTGAATAGGTAATGTATTTTTTTTTTTCGTATGTACTGAAATTAAAGTTCACAGCACGTTGCTGCCAAAATGGCACAAAAAGGTCGTAAAATGAATTATCTGTGTAATTTATGTACCGTGACGTACAGATTATGAAAATTAATATTTACTTTTCTGTACAGGAAATCGAATGAACCACAAGTATACAATTATGCAAGTTCCGATTGGAATCCAATTAAAACCTTTGAACTATGTGATCACGGTAGTGACATTGTATATAAGAATCCTTCGGTTAAAGCGGTCTGGTACCCGTTTCTCATTTGTTCTAACAACATTCTCGTTTTCCTTCTACTTCATACACTTTGGCATGTTTTACCAAGCTTATTTATCGACTTATTCCGTTTACTTCGGGGAAAGAAACCAGTGTAAATATATTAAATTTTTTTCTACGGATTACAAAAATATTAAGTTCCATTTTAATAGAATTAATGAAATTATTTAAAAACCAACATTAGAAATTAGTTCAATTGTTAATATATTACATATTGACCTATAAAACTTACGTTTATTTTTGCAGACTCACAAGAATATTGGTCAACGTAACAAAAAATTATAGATTACTGTCGTATTTCGCATCCTCCAAGTGGGTTATCAAGACGGATAAACTCAAAGAAATTCAAAATAGAATGAACAAAGACGATTTGGAAGAGTTTCCTTGTGATTTAGGATCAGTGGACTGGTATAAAGGTATAGAAAGATT